TGACTGTCCATTTACTACAAACTGCTATCACAGGTGTTATCACGGGTTAGAGAGACAAATAATTGTCTTTTGTCAAAGAGACATCAGCTGCACTTTTCTAAAGACAGATCCACTACTTGGAGGGAAGAAGATATTCTAATCATGGCTTAACTGTCTGTTGTCTTTAGGCTCAGATGGTGGTGACTTATTTATATACCACGTCTTTATAACACTGCCCTCATCTGGTCATTTTAAAAGGCTATATCCCTCCCATTCACACATTTCTGCTTTATTTGCATTCATGTCATCAGCAGACAGAGGCATGAACAGACTTAAATAATCTCACTGGACTGCATGACAAATCACATTTTATTTTCTGAGCGGATTGTACAGTTATTCAGTGTCGTTGGAAAACAGTTTAATGGTCTCTGTATCAAAAAAAAAAAAAAAAAAAAAAGTACCATTACTACTAGGAGATAATATCTGAGAAATACTTTAGAATTAAAACATGTCAGTAGTTTACAATACAAAGTAAATCAAATCTACACAATTGATCTATACAATAGCAGCCACCTATGGCATATACAAAGTACCATAAAACAGCCAGGAAAATAAAAATATGTACATTTTCATGCTGTGAATAATTCAGTTATAAACATAGTTTAATTAGAGGTTCAAAAACTTTATGGTTTTCTATATACCTGATTAAGGAACATAAGGTGCCTTATTAAAAAATGATCTAGGGATATGTCCCATGAGAATCAACTACATGATCAGCAAAGTACAGTAAAATGCACACGTTAGGATATTATGTGTCACTGTCAGTAAGTATCAGTATGTTGTTGATTCAAACAAAGTGACGACTCAGTTGTAAAGAAGTCTTTCACATTTTGTCTGAGCCTTTCATTATTTTAGGTGTTTGATGATTTCAGTAGTAAGGCAGGTGCTGTGTGGCACCTTTGGGTACACTCAAATAAACAGTTTTTAAACTGGTCAGTTTAGTGGTACCATCAACAGTGCTAATATGAACTGGTTTGTGTGCACAGTCTTTCTGTTCTGGAAGAAAGGGAGAATATATTCATGAAGGCAAGGCATCGGGAAGAGATTTACCCCCTTCAAGGTCAGTCTCTGAGTCCCCAATACAACGGGGATGTTCGCACGTGGCGCTCGCCCTTTTTAGTGTTGGCACCGTGCGTCTCCAACATGGATGCACCGACAAACTCCTCCTTTCCTGAATTCCACAGTGTCAGATCTGCCTTAGACCTCACTGTGGGTGAACAGATGTGGCTCCTTAAGTCCTTGTTCCATTTAGTGACGCCGTCTTCAGCAGGTAAGCAGGCATGGTTTTTAAAAAAGATATACATACATAAAATGGACCAAAGGGGACCACATATTCAGTTCGCAGTGAGAAGGGGGAGGTGGGGGTTTGTACCGCCTCGTTCCCCCAGTTTAAGTGCTATACTGGTCGGCACGGAGAACTAAGGCCGATGAAACCTGGAGGAAAGAGAGGAAAAGTCAAGAGGTCAGTCTAGATGCTACACTCAAAAATAGCAAATAGCACATAAAGAATTGATGTGCTGAATAAAGCTGAAAAACAGCTGGGATGAATGTTTAATGAGAGCTATATATGAGCCCGACCGGGTATAGATCCTGCTTTCTTCGTGGACCTCCATCTCTGAACTCTTGAATTCGTTGAGCTCCTTGCGGATAGCAGCCTGAGAAGAGGAGGAGACATGAAAGAGAGAGTGCTTGAGTGGGAACGGCTTTTATCCGTTTATAGTAGAGCACAGGAGAAGAAAGGCAGCAACGGATCAAAGCGTCATGTATTTTGATGATTCCTCAACTATTAATGCTCCACAACACACACACACACACTTTTCGAACAAACTCAATCTGTATTTGATATCATGCCATATTCCAGTTTCCCCTCTCCCCCCAACATGCATTTTTTTCTGTTCCTACACATTTAATGAGCTTCACTCGGCTCGGTAATTCACCTGGTAAGTCTAAACCCAGCCATTATGCAGTGCCTGTGCTGCATTCCAGGGATCCTTCTTTGATACCAAATCTGCTTGGAATGCAAATCCTCAGAGTGGTAAAATACTTGCAATGTTTAAGCTACCCACTGCTAAGAAGCTCCAAACCACAGGAGGCCTGTTACGATAAAGAGAGGCATCAGATGCGTTAGAAGGTGAAGTCTCTCACCTTATCAGCAGGTGTTAGCTTCGTCCACGGCTTGTCTGCTCTGCGATCGTAGTCCTCAGCGTGGGTGCTTTCGACGTCCTCATGGAAACGCAGGATCTTCCTGGCTTGAAGCTCGGCCACTGTGGGTCTCTGAGACAGCTGATGGTAGAATGAACAAGGCTGCTGTCAGTTTCTTGTTCACAACAACAGCAGCAACAAAAACAAGCTGTCACATTAAAGATAAAGTCACTTTATTGTATCCTAACCTTTCTGGTGAGCCTCCGCTTGATCTCGCTTCTCTCCAGACGTCGGTCCACTTCGTTCTTGGCTGTGGGGAGGAGAGCACATTCCATGAGAGAGGGAAACGCTACAGATAGATTTCACCTGAGCTGCTGTCGGCACGCTGCCCTCACTGGAATCTTTAATCACTGCCTGGCTCTGCACAAGGCACTGCATTGTTTTTAGCACGCTGAGGAGCATCGGTTCTGTAGAGTCATCTGAGGACAAGCGAGCTGCAGCGGGGCAGAATGAATCCTTGAAAACTGGAATCCCACTCAGCATCACAGTGATGCTGCATCAGTGATCTACCACAGATAATCTGCTCCTCATAGTTTTGAACTTTCCGTTCTTGTGTTTTAACATGTAAGCAATGGTTTCTTATTTCAGAAACCTGGGTTATATATTTGGTAATTCAGGCAAAAAATATAGAGGTGTTGAAATACTTGAGGGTAGCGGCTGACCTCAGTTTGTCCATCAGAGGGCACTCACTCTACAACATCCCTGTTGGGAACAATCACCACAGGTTTGGGCCTGTACTGAGTTCACTAGGCTCTGGGCATCGTTCCACTCTCTGGGTTCATTTAAGCTAACAGTGGTGATCAGGACAAGCAGTCACACAGAGGTATGAAGTTAACCCAGGGTTTCCCCTACACGTTCACATGAAGCTGTGGTGATGGTAGCATCTGACCAATCTTTCACGGATCCTATAGCTCGTCTTCCACAGGACAGGACTGTGAGTGCTGCAGCTCGCCAACATAAGAGTGAGTGAATCTAGATGACAAAAAGATACCGTAGGAATACTGACGTTGCTTCATAGTACAGGCCTCTGATCCGAGCAGAGTGGAAACAAGTATTTAATTGTAAACTTGTGACAATAAGAGCAGATTATTTGAAACTGCAGTATCATCTTATCGTAGTTAAGGACTCATAAATATCTCAGTTTTCTTTCGTTTATCTGAATTTTTTTTTTTTTTTTTTTTAAATCAACTAATATCAGTATGTATGCCGGTTACAGAACATTGGTTTTCCAGCACCAGCAGTTGAAAGTCCATCACTTTGATTTCAGGTTAATGGTTAAAAGGAACAACACTCTGTGTACAGCTTCTGGAATTGTGCTGTGCAGCTGCACTGCACAAGTTTCAGTTACTTCACTACTGCATGCGATTTCTCTCCCACCGCACAGATTCTGGATAACGAGGACAGGTTGTATTAAATTCTTAACAAAGAGTGGGGATTTGTACACAGTCCTTGGTGAGCTTGTTCAAATTTGTACTGCAGCCCAGAGATTCAGGAACTAGACAGGACAAGGCATCAACCACAGAATGATGGGCTAATAACAGACAGGACAGCAATGCTCCATCTACAGATTTTCATCTGAACTGAATGCAAAGTGTTATTTTTGTGAAGTAAACAGAGGGGGAAAAACATAAATGCAAATCAGAATTTAATTTATTTCCATCACATGTGGCAGCAACCCGAGGTCCTTAATAAGGTCAGTATCTGCTGTGAGGCCTGAATTTGAATACCTCTGACAGTCTCTTAACTAAAGCAAAGCAGCAGCACTGACAGAGCTGCCTGGTGACTGACCGTAAAACAGATGGACTTGATATAGTAAATGTAGTGGCTGTGACTCATTAATCGCACGTGTTCGCTGCCATGTCTGGAAGGCAATGAGTAATTTAGACTCAACATCAATATGGACACCAAGCAGACATGCCGAGCTGAAGAGCCTAAAGGAACATTGGATAAATAACTGATTCAGGCTCTCTAACGTGCACTGGTGTATTTATTCAAGTCACACACAGACTTGTAATAAAGTGCTCTCAGACCCAATAATGTCCAGACTGCTGTGTGTTTAGTGACACCCGTGGTGCCTGAGGCAAAAAGGAAAAACATTTTACAGATGAGTGAATGACTAATGCTCTCTATTGATTTCAAAGATGAGGAAATAGAAAGTGGGCTTCTTAACATTACAGCGCCGACGAATGAGATGCGAGTAAAGACACAGCTGAATGGAGACGTGAAGGATGGAGAGAGCAATAAATGAATAGGCTCACCTGGAAGGATGTTCCTCTGCTCCAGCTCTTTTGCTGTGGGTCTCTGACTCAGCCGCCTGAGGGAAGACAATATTTCAGACTGAGCATATTTTTCTTTGGCTACATTAGATAAATAGTGAAGAGTAGACAGGACAGTGAGAGAGGGTGTGTTTTGAAGAAGAAAGTGAAGTGCTGCAGATCTCACTATACTTTTTTGAGTTTGCTGCATGTTAATGTGAAGCCAACTAAAAAATAAAACTATTCAGGCCCCATTTTTTCCCCAAAACTGTCTTAACTTTACTCTCGGTGCCTAAAAACCTTTACCGTGTCAGTGTGGTCCCGATCTTGTTCCTCAGTTCCTCCCACTGCTCCTTATTGTTCCAGCTCATGCCATCATTGTTATCCTGATTCTCCTTCTCTCGCTCTTGTCGCTCCAGTTTCAGTGCCAGCGTGTCCTTCCTCTTCACTCGACTTGCCAGCCCACCTGTTACACACAAGAGGCATGTTTATACATCCAACAACAACAACATGCCTACACCTGAATCATCTTTACACAGCTGAACATGGACATTTCAAAGAAGCTAATAAAGACCAAGTGCTTAAAGCTCAAGTTAGTAAGAGCTCAGAGCCAGTATCCTCGGTGTGAGAAGCAAAAGGATCAAAGCAGTTTCAAAGAAAATTATGGAGACCAGTTTCCCCAAAAAGATAAAAGGATGCATTTCCAATTACCTGGTGAATTTATGAACATGCTGGAAATCTTTGCAAGCAACAGATGATTTTTTCAGTTTTTACAATTAATCATATTTTTTTTTAATTTTGTGTGTGTGCAGGGCTCGCAAAATCGCTAGCCCGACGTCCCGGGGCTAGCAATTTTTCCAGTCAGGCTACCAAAATCTATCTCTGCCCTGCCCGTCGGGCTATCGTAGGAAGGAAAAATATATGTCAATGCTTTTGCATTCTTTCGGAAATGTAGCTGGGTAATTATGTCATTGGCATCGGTGAGCCACTGTCAATATGTGACATATTGAAATCGCGTTTGAATTTGCGCTTGTTTTTTGCTTTCACTTTGCAGTCGCGCGAACTGTGTATAGAGAGCGACAGTACTGATTGGTGAGTGATGATAATTTGCACACCAATTCCTCTGACATCGTCTTATCAATCGTTAGCTTACTATGCAAACATGACAAGTGAAATCTCC